TTCATCTTAATTAAACCCGTCCAAAAAAACAACTTCCCTAAGAGTAAACTTAGTAATAATATTTACCTATTGTTTATACATTATGAACGATTAACTTATTTCTTTTCGCTACCTTATAGGTTGTTACTTTGGAAATCTACTTTAAATATATCCCCTGCAGGTATACTACCTTTACTTTCATTTTTTTCCAAGTGTGCTTGCGCCTTGAATTTGTGGTTGCGCATGTGTATAACATATCTTCGACTCATGACGTCGCCATTTCATAATTATTTTCCACTAATTAACGATAAATAAAAAATATTTGATAAAATAAAGTTGAGCAAATAGTGTGCAATTAAGAGCACTTATTCATTTTATCTGCTGTTGCAAACTTCGTTGCTTTGCTTAAAAATAGGACAAACAATTTTTATATTATCAATTATTAATAATTAATTAAATAATTAATTAATAAAATGAGGAATTATGGATTTTGATTGAGAAAATAGTGTGCAATTGAGAGCACTTATTCATTTTTTTCTGCTGTTAAGGTTCCTTGCCAGCGTTCCTACGGTAAATTCATAACTGAAAACTAAATTTGTATATTTTTATTATTAAAATATAATTTCAAGTGAAATTAAATTCTTTTAAAAAATAATTTTAAATATTTATCTTAAATTTACATACATATTTTAAAGAAATATAATTTTCCATTAAAACTCACTTGAAAATATTGATATATTTTCTATAATATGGATATTTTCGAATTAGCATTGTCTTCTTTAAGAATTTTTAAAATCTCATCCTTATCATTATAAGAATCATAAACAGGATTATCCTTTAAATCTAATGTCATTAACTTATCCTGTCTTTTTATGAGATCTACTATTTCATTTATATCTGATATTTCGTTAGACCGTAAAGATAAGAACTCTAAATTACTTAATGTAGGAAAATATTTCAGTGACTTAATCTTATTACGAGATAAATCTAACTTTTTACAATATTGTAAAGTTGAGAATTGATGCAATGAGTTTGCTAATTCGTTTTCATTAAGACTTACTTCATCAAAAAATGCAAAATATTGATTATTGTGAAGCTTTGTTAAAGATAATTCGCTTAAATCAATCTTTTTATATATTTCTAAATCTTTCTCTGTTCCCCACAGTTTTGAAAACATATATTCCACTATATATTGGCAACCTACAAATGAAATATAGATCATTGAGATATTTGGATAATTTTTATAGCTTTTACACAGAATATTTTATTATATGCTTACGTAAATCCTTATAATAATATGAACGTAGAGTATCAAGATTGTATAATGTATTTACGTCTTCCAGTATAGTTTCATAAAAACGAGTAAAATCAAGTTTTTTCATAAGAAAGATACCAACTAATATAACCCATTTATTACTTGGTTCCATTTGTGCTAACTGTTTGTAACTTACTAATTGATATTGCAATTGTTCTTTGTTATGATTCTCATTAATTGGCAAATTATTTTTATATATCCATGCACTTTCTTGATGCGAATAATTAAATTGATATTCTTTATCTTGGACATTAATGCAAACGTTTTTTAAATCGCTTAAATTCTCTAGTGGAATAGATAATATACCAGTCCATACTTTAGAAAATCTTTTTTCCGTGTACGATCTCCATTGAATATCTATTTTATTATTATCAATAAATAATGAAATATTTTCAGACAATCCAGATATTTCATTATCAAATACAACGTCGACTGTGTCAGTTGTAACACGAGATCTCCATAATATGCAATGAGATTTAGGTTTATAATCATCTAAAAGCCATCTCTGATAAAACCATGCACTCGTATCATTAGGATCCGTAAACGTTGCATCTCTAACTAGATCAAGTTCTAAATAATATCGATGGAGTTGTTAGATTTTTAATTATTATTCAATAGAATCATAAGAAACATCTTATGAGCTTAATATATTTACCTTCTTCCCATTTCTTTCGTGTAATTGGTATTTCTTGGGAATCGCTAGAAAATAATTTAGTAAGAACTTTACTTCTGTAATGCCACGACGAGTAATTAGAAAAATTCTTTAATATTTTAGTCGTAGAATATTCATATTCTGCGTGATCAGATATTCCTGCTTTCTCTACCACGTATTTTCTATAATCCCAACAATGAACTGAAGTGAATCAAAATAAAGAATATATCGTTATACATAAACGTTAATATTTTTAAATAAACAATTCTTTTATGCAACACTTACAATTTCTTTCATCTAGATTAAGACATTTTGTACATAACGTTAATTCTTTAATCCAATCAGGTTTTTGTAAATGTTCCATTACCCACCATCTTTGATGCCACACGCTATAAGACTTAGGATTATTTCTTAAACAATTTTCAGTCAACGTTAACTCTTTTTCAAGTATGTTTGTATAATTTTCTTCGTTCCTATATTTTAAATGAATATATTTCTTTCGATATATATTGATAATAATCTTTTAATTTTATATATTTCTTTCGATATATATTGATAATAATCTTTTAATTTTATATTTATCTTACCGATTATTATTTTGAAACGCTTCCCGACGTATGTTCCACAATGTATGAATATCTGAATTTTCTAAAAGGACTTTCTCCGTCAGAAATAACATATCGTCATCCCATATTTTTTCTTCCCTCTAAATTGAAAAGAAGATTAAAATTTAATTGCTTTGTATCTAACAAAATCAAGCATTTCTAATTTGATAAACAAGTTGTTCGAGTAGAATAAAAATACTTTATTAACATGACGATAGATTATTTCTAATATTTAAAATATTCAAGAACATTTTAATTATTTAATATAAAAATTAAAAACAACCTTTTTAAATATCTCGGTCATAGCAATCTTATACTCGGCTAATTTCTTAGCTTTTTTTTTCTTTTGAATCTCCTCTTGTTCAGCTGTTGTGCGAACCTTAACACGACCATGCTGAAAAGAATTATTTCATTTAATAAAATATATAATTGATGCGTGGATATCCAATGACTGACTTTGACATTGCGTACAAAATATTGAATTTATCTAGTATGACAACGATACAACTATAATAATTACAGTTAATATATTAACTTCATAAAAAGTGGTTATATACAATTTTTAATTTAAACTAACATAAATTGAATTTGATTAAACATAATATTACAATGTCAAATACACATATACGTTTGTAAATGTTTTACTTCTATAATACTAATTTAGATATTATTGGTGTTTTAACTTTTTACTTCATTAACATAAAATATTTATTTTATATATAAATGTTTATAAAAAGTAATTATTTAATAAAATAATAATTTACCATTGTGAATAACTCTTGTAGAGTTCACAATAACTATAGGTTGATAAATATATATATATGTATGTTAAAATAACGATGTTATTATTTTTAACTAATCATTAAATATTTGTAATTTCCACCACAAATTTATTTTAATATGATGAAGTGAACTACTGTAAAAAGAACAATGGTAGTTTATACGTGTAAAATAAGAGGTACCAACATTATCAAATAAAATACATGCAGAACTACCCAATGGCGCGAAAATCAATAATGATTCAAGAAACAGAATTTTTTCAAACCAACTATCTTCAATAAAAACATATTTTATCAATAAAAAGTTCTTTACATTTCATAATTAAACAAATTTTAATCCATTTTAAACATACAATTAATATAAAAAGTAAAAATATCAATGTTATATACATATAAGATATTCTTTTTAGAAAATACAAAAAACATTAATTTAATATAGTTTTAGCTATAATTAAAAAAATAAATTCTTTATTAAGGATTAACTTATTCTGGAATAAGTTTATAATGGATTGTACACACAAAAAATATGAAATGTCATAATTATATGGTTGAATTATTAATATAATTGTAAAATTGTTACAAATGCCATGTATTGTTTATGTATAAAATATGTACTAAATTAATATGTTTCTTCGAATCATAATGAGTTCTAATGATAGGTTTTTTTTTAAATAGTTAATTATTAGTTACATTTTCACGATTGTCACGACTTTCACGATTCCATCTCCATATGGTAGCATCGTCGCAAACACACAATAGTACTTTGCCATCTCGACTTAAGCTAGTTTGTCGTATTGCTGCATTACAACGTGGATTTATTAGAGTCCAACAACGTGCTTGACCAGGTTCATCAACTTCCAAGTCCCATACATATGTTTTACCAATTTGATTTCCTAAAGCTATAGTACTTTGCATAAAATCCATAGAAAATCTAATAAACCAAATATCACACTCTTTGAATTCGAAACGATGTAAAACAGTAGCACTTGTTTCTCCATTATTTAATTTATCATTTTCAAGACGTCCTGGTTTCCAACATACAATACAATTCTCACAAGATTTGCTTAAAATAAAGTCGCCATACCACTTAACACAATCAACATAATTGCGATGTACATCACGTGTCGTGAAGTCTGGAAAATGTTGAAGTATAGAGTCAAATGGTCTTCCATTTCTACTAAGATTAGAATGATATGACTGATCAATAGCTGCCTTCATATTCGGCTTGGTTAACGACCACAGTTTCAAAGCATGATCCATTCCACATGAAATAATTCGCTGACCCAATATGTCAAAATCTGCACTTAATACTTCATCTCTATGGCCTTCTACACCACCAAAAATTGCTATACATACATCCGACTTAATATTCCATAATCTCAATGCGTGATCCTTAGATGCAGATAGTAATATGTTGCAATCTTTAGGATGAGTTTTCAATTCGTTTATTGCATGACCATGACCTATGTAATGTTTGATACAAGTCATGGATACTGTACTAATTACTCTTATAACTCCTCGAGATCCTGCCACAGCTAATAATGGTTTTTGATTATCGTCGTAAGTCCAAGTACACGTATAAAAAATTTCTTCTGAATCAGGATCGGTATAACATTGACGTAATTTAATGTTACCATTTGGCGGACATTCATAAATGCTTACTCGAGTTCCTCCTACAGAAGCAAACATTAACGGTTGATCTCCTTTCAAGTGATGATTAAATTGTACTCCAAAGAGCGGTTGACCGTGATCTTCTTTTATACTACAACAAAATTTGTAAAGCTGTTTGTCATTGCAAGGTTTACTCTTTGCTGTCTTACTTCTTCGTCTTCCTTTCCTTTTATAGCGAGCATTACGAGTTGGTGTATCACTACGATGAGTACCGGCTGTGGAATTACTACCAATACTACATTCTGTTTCATCGCTTTCATTCTCGCTGTCTTCCACGCTCGACACGTATGCTTGACATTTATTTGTAGTTCTTTTCATTTTAGAAATGATATATTAATATCCTAAGAAATATATATGTCTATATATTACATATTATCCATCACAACAAAAATATGTATATGTATGTGTATATATTTTTCTTTGAATTAAAGTAATGAAAATATTATTTAAAAGATTTTTCAAACTATATATTCATAAACAATGTGGACGGCAATCACTTGTTTTTTTATTTAATTATTGAATAACACTTAAGATTTTAAATTTATGTTATAACGTTGATAAACAAGCACGAATAGAAATTGTAACATCAAATGTATGGTAACATTCGTCATAAAATCAACTTGAATAAATTTTATACAGAATGTGCACGTTGAATCTTAGAAATTATTAACATAAATTATCATTTATTCAGTTGGTAAACATTTTACCAATTTTATTTCGATCCGATTGGTTATCATGCTAGTACATGGATGAGTCCACTAGATGGTACTGTTCTGCAAATAAAAATTCAATATCCAATGACAGAAAACTTAGTAAAACAGATTGAAATCATGCCATTAAAAGAGGTTATATTATAAAACACGTAGAAACGAATGTATAGATATATGTAGATATACAATATTATTCAATCAATGCTGTAATTATTCCAAGGCGTATTTATTACTGTAGGTATTTGACTTTCTAATCCTAACACTGTCGATGCTAAAGCTAATATTCTGTTTTCTAATTCATTAAATCTATTAGGATCCTGAAAAGACAAATTAATCTTTAATTATAAAATTGATCTAAGAAGAAATATATAAATAATCATTTGACATAGAAACTTACAGAAATCTTGGCAGATAAAAATCGAATGTTATATTTCTTGCGTATTTCTTTTAAATTATGAAATACAAAACTCATTATATCTAATGTGCTGTTATCATGCACCAAACAACAAGCACCAGATATTATGAAATGTTCATCTATTAGACCTATATTTGTCTCGATCTAAGATAAGATTGAAAAATAATAACTATGAGTTTAATGATAAAGAAGATATTGAATGAATAAAATCATTTACCCAGTCTATCGATGCAGACATTAATGAGTCAAATACAAAGATGATGAAATCAATGCACATAGAAATGTTGTTCTCCAACACTTCTGATATGGATTCGCATTTGTGTACTTCTATGTACCAGTTTTTTTCCTTCGCTCTCTTGTGAAGTCCATCCGATAGATGTTCACATAATGCTGATCTACCTACTACCTAAGCATATTTAATTTTCTTATTATTCCTACTAGATAAGTGTAAAATGTTGAAATATGTAGTTTATAAAATAGATATTCTTATAATCTTATATATGCACAGTCAACGTATCATATATATATATATATATATATATATATATATATATATATAACCTTTAAAGATTTTATATACAATTAATACGAAATATACAATTACCTTATATATTTCATATTTTTTGTAATGAATAGTAACTAACACACACTTATTTATATACTATATAAAAACGTATGAACAAAAATAACTTAAAATAAAATTTAGATAATAAATTTTAAGATTATTAAAAAGTATTAAATACACATTTTAAAAGTTATTTAAGAAATAATAATTTTAAATCTTACTAAGAATGATATATAAACGTCGCTCCTTTGAACACCACCAGAACTCTGAAGAATCTTACTCATATTGACATTTTTTAAATGCCGGAAAATTCGTAAAAACAATTTTGAATCTTATTTAAATCGCGTAATACCAATTACTGTAGCCAATTATTATGATGAACAATCATATGAAAAAGAATGAAATTATATATCAATTAGAACCAATCAAATGAGTACTAGGTTCAATGCTTCATTCTGATTGGTGTTTATTTTTATGACTTTACTGTTTCAGATGGCGATGCGAACGCACGTGTTGTTTAACGTCCGTTTGAATTAATTAATTATACATTGTGAAACACTGTCCACATAAGAATAAATTGCCAGAAATGAATTAAAAACATTTATATGTGCGATATATTCTAGGCTTCTAAAATTAATACTTCTTAATGATGTTTTAATATGTATACATATATTGTAATTTGGTTTATCCAAAAATTTGAGAGAGAGAGAGAGAGAGAAAGAGAGAGAGAGAGAAAGAGAGAGGGAGAGAAAGAGAGAGGGAGAGAGAGAGAGAGAGAGAGNGAGAGAGAGAGAGAGAGAGAAAGAGAGAGAGAGAGAAAGAGAGAGGGAGAGAAAGAGAGAGGGAGAGAGAGAGAGAGAGAGAGGGAGAGAGAGAGAGAGAGAGAGAGATACATTTAAAAATTATTTAAAAAATTATATTAAATCAAAGAACTAATATAAACATGCACACATACATATACTTATTAAATCATCTAAATATTAATAAATAAATCAAAATCTATCTTTAGAAATGTAAAACGTAAATAAGTAAAAAAGCAGCTTCAAATACATTCATTTTATGTCTTATTTTACTCTCCCTTTTACGCATAGAGTTACTTCTATACTAACACCTTTTACACATATTTAATACTATTAATGACGATCTTATTAGATCTAATAGTGTATTATTAGCGCTCTAATAATGTATTAACGTTCCAATAGCATATCATTGCTAAATGATATGTAAAAATATAAAAGTAGTAAATAAATAAAAAAAAAAAAGTAAAAAATATAAAGTAATTAGTTTCTTTGTATTAAATGGATAGAAGGAACCAAGGAGAGGGAAAGGAATAGGGATATGATATTAATTAGGTATGTAAAAGAAACTGATTACAATTATAATGTTTATGGAAAGCGGTCTTTGGCTGGATTTTACTTGCAATGGAATGTATAACATATATAAAATATGTTAAACATTATACTGAAAGTAAAATACCATTGCCCGGGTCTAACCACGAGGAGGTAACCGTTTCCGAAGACCCACGAGTGCTCAATCGTGCCGAGGATGAAAGGTCCTAATCGACACGAGCTATTGGTTGTAATTATTGTAATAAGTTATTGCCGAGCACATGTGTAATTTGTTTTCTGTAATAACTTATAAAAACTGTTTATTCTATTGTTTGTTTCATTAGTTTATACAATTCAATGAAAAATAAGAATTATTCAAGACTATATGATTAAAGAAAGTTGAGACGTTTATTCGTTCAAATGAAACAAAATACTGATTAGATTATCATCAAAAATTATTTATTTATTTATATTAGGGGTAATAAGCAGCCTTAAAATTTATTAATTAAATTGAGTTGATATTTTATGTTGTATTCTTACTAATTTATCGCAGGTATATTAAATACTTTATTGTTAATACATCTTTTAAATAATGTGCATTACACTATACTCATATTATATAAATGTGAAATTTATATTAAAAATGCTAATTTGATTTATATAGACAGTAATGTGATTGTTTGATCATTATTTAACATTACAATTTCTGATCAACAATTACTTTTTCAATTTTATTCAAGATATTTGAGGGTTTCTGGTAGCTAACATTTGATTCGACAGTTTCATACTTTTAACATAAAAATGAAATTTTTTTTAACAAGTATAAAAAGTAAATGTAACAAAATTTAAAATAGTAAAAAGAATATTAGAATTAACTATAAAAAAAAAGATAGTACTTTCGGTATTTAATCTTGGAATTTATAAACATAGGCAAATGTTCTTAAATATAATCGTTTTTAAGATATATATCTTATTATTATTATTATAATTATATAATAATTTTAATATTTTATATATGTTTGAAATATTAACTAGCACAAGACTTCTCAAACTTTTTCATTTGGCGATTATTTTTACTCGAGTAAATATTTTCATAACTCTGGATAGTAGATTTTTTACTATTTTTTCTTTCTTATCATAAACTTACTCTTATACTTTACGTGTAATGTTGCTAAATTGGTTTTAAATTAATTTACCATCGTTTCACATCCGGAAAATTGTTTAGTTAACAATTTGATTTTAAGCAAGATTTACAATTAAAATATATATAATATACTTCACGCAATATAAATGAGGATAATAAAACTAAGCAATTTAAAAAAAATAAATATTAATAGCTTATTCGCAAATAAAAAAGCACTTAAATTTACTATCTAAATTATTTTTATACAATCTATATTATTTTAAATACATTTTTAAGCAATGTTAAATATACTATCACCTATTATAAAAAATCGATTATGCATTTCGTGAAACTATCGGATATTCTTACATTATTATAATTACGCATATCTATTATGATTATTAGAATTAAACGCATAGTAACGTGTTATAAATTATATTAAATTTTTAATAGTAATTCTATCATTGATATTTTACATTTTTTCTCAAAATTAATTTACTTAATTTATAAACAATGAAATAAATAGATATTTGTTAGAATTTATATTAAATAATATAAACCATAGGAAACATTTAACTTGCCCATATATTATATACAGAACAAAATTAATGCAAGTTGTTGCAAATCAATGTAATAAAAAGAATTCACTTAATTCATCGATTTTGATGTAAAGGAAGACTTTTAATTTTGTTCACAATTTTTTTTCATGAAAAATTTAAAATAAGATTGTTTCAATTTTAAAATACGTTAGAAACAACGTAATGATATATTAAAAAGTAAAAAACATTTGGTTTTTTCCTAGCTTTAGAAAAAATAAATCATACTTTAATTATAAACAATAACAAAGAAATACTGATACGTATTTAACTTGCTTAAAAATAATATGGCAGAGGAAAATTTAAGTTGCATATAAATGATACTTATTACACAATTTTATGAAAGTCTGGAAATATATCATTTAAAGAATTCTACATATATATATTTGTGATGCAATAATATAAGAAAAAAAAAAAAGGAATGCACAATAATTTCATTAAAAATGTGTTTAAGAAAATGTACCTAATCCAGTCTATTCAACAATAAGCCACACAGTATGTTCAAGCTTATAATAAGCATTTTAGTGTAAACGATTATGTAACACATGTTGTAGAATCAATAATTTTGTAAAATTGTTCACTCTTATATATATACTTAGAATATTGTAGAATTTTAGGAGTATTATGAACTAGGAAACGATTCTTCTTTTTATCTCTTCCTTTAAATAGATAAATAAAAATTTGTTCTCTGGCTCTTAGATGATAATCATGTATTTTCTATCAATTATGGGTATAAAGCGAGATTCCAATATTCCCAGATCTGGTGTCGCTGTTCTACAAAGGAAATAAAAGTGCACGTAAATAAATAATTTGGTGAAGTCATATTAATAAAGATAATTTAGTTGGGAAAATGCAGCTCTTGTAGCTTTTTGTTGCGGATCCAGCTGATTTTTAAAATGCTTTGCTAGAAAAGCTGCGATCACCTGAAAGAAGTCAAACAAATTATTTAATTATGCACAAGAGAAAATAGTTTAATATAATGATTTTTTTTTTCTTTTTGAATAATGCAAGAAAACAATAAGACTAAATTAACAAGGAACACAATCAACATTATGATACAACCCACCATCTATTAGGAGGGTCATATGAGGAGATAGAGGACATGGCGATGGTGTTAGACTAGAGAAAAGCACTAGGATTAGCTCGCGGATCTTTCTGGTTCCTGTACCGCACGGTCAACCAAACACCAACAAACTGTAATGGGCATATACATAAGCATTAGATGACATGAGTCTTCATTATAATAATGTGATTTAATTTTAGGAAAAATATGCGTTATATTATTAGGATATATGAGACGATACAAATCTTTTATAAAATTCAGATGATTTTAAACAACAACATTGCATTTCTCTCTCTCTCTCTCTTTCTCTCTCTTTCTCTCTCTCTCTCTTTCTCTCTCTCTCTCTCTTTCTCTCTCTTTCTCTCTCTCTCTTTCTTTCTCTCTTTCTCTCTCTCTCTCTCTCTCTCTTTCTTTCTCTCTTTCTCTCTCTCTCTCTCTCTCTCTTTCTTTCTCTCTTTCTCTCTCTCTCTCTCTCTCTCTCTCAATTATCTTCATTTAAAATGTAATATTTAAAATAGATAACATATAATAGATTCATTGTCTTACCTCTGTAAAACTGAAAAATAATCCTATACTACCACAGAGTTTGAAAGCATAATCAATTGTAGATTGCAACTTTTGCATACATAATGGACATCGATTGGTGCATTCGCGGTCTGAGTAAGGACAGCAAGTTCTCTATAGAAAAAAATAAATATTAAGTGTTAGATAAAATTAGATTTTGAACCGGTTCATCGAGTCGCTAGTGTTATGATTTATACACAGAGGTGCATTTCATATTTTTGTGTAGGACTCATGCTTGTTATGCTTGGTTCATAAAGCGTATCACGAGTATCACATATAGTTATAGTGCAAGGTTTGATATACTTACATTTGTATCATGGCATGCCAAGGGATCTGTTTCAATAACGGTATCATTAAATCCACAGCAGTGGAAGGTTTCTTCTACTTTAGCACGTAAATCATCTCCAACTCGTCTCCATCCCTAAAAAATATATACAAATATGGAATATATATAAAATAAACATGTTACAAAACAATATAGTATTAGGAAAGATTAAAAATACTTGTTCAGCAAGTTGTTCTTGTTGTTTGGCGTTAACAGCAAGACAGGCGCAAGCAATGCTGAATTGAATCAAAAACAGAAGGAACAAGATAAGCATATACTGTAATATACAATTAAGAAAAATTAACACTTATTTGCAAGTCACTTTCTTCTGCTATAATGTTTTTTGGAAAAAGGATACAAAGAATAATAAAACTTGATGATGTTTCACAGCACCAATTAGCCCGAGAATGGAAATGAGAATGAGTATTACTCCACAGGCTAAAATTCCCCCAATTATAGGAAGATTGGTGACTAAAGCTGATGCTCTTCCATAAACTGCGACTCCAATTAAAATAAATGCAACGACCTAAAATATATACAAACAAAAATAAAATCTTTTCGATAGATAATAATTTTTAAGAATATCAATTTTATATGAGTTAAAAGATAAAGTACAAATAAGAATTTGAACTTTGGTTACTATCTGTTTGTTTAATTGGACTAATTCGAAAGTCATCTGACGATTATGATAAGTAACAACACTTGCATGGAAAATTATTTGTACCAATAAATGAGAGTATATATATAATGTGTGACATCTAAAGCTATCTTATCAGTGTGTCATTATTAAAAAATATGTTTGGACCAGGCACAAAATTTCAAGAGAATTAATTAATAGAATTTACCATTACTATAGACTTTTAATAAATTTCATGGTAATGTTATCAGTCTAATTCTAAATATTTATTTAAACCCGGAAACGTGTCAAATTGTATTAAAGCATATTTTAATTTAATAACATTATTCTCTAATTATTAAAAAAAAAATCCGTACACATATGAAAGATTAAACTTACAATGTAAAGTATATTTAAGGCTGTTAGCGCATTTTTCGAACACGTAAAACCACCACACATCTTTGGACTCGGTCAATTTCCGACCGATTAGACAAAGTTACACGTGAACTTGTAATTAAAATTTACTTAATTATCGATAAACGTTATCACTTGTCAATAGGTTTGAATAACTTATGAGAAAGTATTTACGAAATAAGCCTTTCGTTTCGTTTCGTTTGTTATCGTTCGACCTTCTTCATCGAAAGATTATCCAATTGTGGCAAGTAGCTTGTGAGAGCATATCACTACGTGCACTGCTCAGGAACATAGGAATTTTTTAGGTGAGGGCGATCGATATCTCGACTTTTGCGACTCCCGTTAGACGCGCGTAAAACAAAATTTCTATTACTATGACTACCTTTATTATTTCTTTCATTTTATTTCTTTTCAAATATAATAATAACTATACTTATTATATATATATATATATATATATAATCATATATATTAATCATTATAACTGATTTTTTTTTTATATATTCAATATACATATTTTTTTACTTTTTTTCTTTTCTTTTTTAAATAAAATATATACCGATCATTAAATTTTAAAATAGGTACATTTTTACAGATAATATTTATTATTTCTTTCTCCAATCTATCTACGTAATAAGCATCTCATGAGATTATTTTTTATTTATTCAGTTTTCATACATTGTCACTATGTATTAGAAATTTGTATTTCGTATGAGACTTCTGTTTAGAGGATTTAGTATGACGGTTGTTGATATTATTTACTATGCATTTTAATGTACTTTCTGATAAGACGCAGTTGCAAATGCGTTCCTTTTTTTCTTCATTAGGTCTCTCTTTCTCTCGTAGGAATAGGAAATTTTGATGTATGCATTTAAATACATCGAATACAATACATATATCCAAATACCATGTCACTTTTGCATACGATAATATTGTTGTCTTACTTAAAATTTGTTGACGAAATTGATAAGGAAGAATTTTACGAGATGAATTTATCACGGACGATCAAGAAACAATGTTTAATTATAATTGATGTAACTAGGATTTTTTACAGACGTTGTTAATGGAAATCAAACTCGTGGTTTCACATCGAAATAGATAAAACATTGATCGAAACATAACAATTTCGTGAATTCATGTTATATTTTACGTCAATATTGAATTATAAATTTATATTTTTATTAGCAAATTGTGCAAAATTAGATGCAATTATACGATAGTCATTTGCATATATAGTAAATGTAAATGTTACTGCGTACAGTTGCCAAAAACTTTGACTTACCTTCCAATATTAATAAGGAAAAAAATTGTTTAAGTTCAGGTGTAATATTTTAAGCGGACAGATACCTTGATAACAATGATAACGATTCTAAAATTAGTTATGACAAATAAACTGACAATCTATGCAACGTCTATTTGAATTAGTGCTATATTTTTATCAACGAAATAGTAGATTGCAGTTTTTCCTTATTTTATTCTAGAATAGCGTATAAAAAAATATTCGGCCTATAACACAAGTGGGGAAGATTCGTTACCGATAAGAGATTCGCTGATAAAGTATTGTATAAAATGTACAATCATTTGAATGCTCTCTTATTTCGTCTGAAATGCGCTAAAGGACGAAGCATCTATTAGCTTTCTCGGTCGTTCAGGTGGCATTAGCTGGTTTCATTTCCAATCTCTGTAAGCATCCTTTTTATTGACATTATCAATGGCAAAATAATAATTGTACATAATGTATAGAAAAAAAATTCATATTTGTTAAAAAGGTATTATTCTTAATAAGCCTATTGTTTAGGATTATAAATAAAATCCGATTGATTATTTTCAGTCGTTTAAAAAGAAGAAATAAAAGAGATGAACAAATCGCGAGCTAAAAGATGGTCTCAATATTTGGCAGCGATTACAGGTAAATAATTTGACTTATATAAAATTGACTAATTTAAAATTATTAACAATTAGCCTAATTGTTGAAAATAAAAAGTGAAGTCATTTTTGGTATCACTAGCCACCTTATCATTGGCATCGGCGGGCTCTCACATTGGTTGGACATCACCAACATTACCAACATTAAAATCTCCGGAATCTCACGTAGAAATCACGTCGGATGATGCTTCTTGGATAGCTTCCTTCTACTTGTTAGGGTCTATACCGGGTAATATTATAGCTGCATTTATAGTGGATTGGTTAGGACGGAAAAGTAGTTTATTGATAGCTGCTTTACCTCTGACCATTGGATGGATCTTGATTATTATTGCTTGGAATCCTTACGTTTTGTATGCCTCTCGTTTCATCAGTGGAATTGGTCAAGGTATTGTTTACGTTGTCTGTCCAATGTATATCGGTGAAATCGCGGATAAAGAGATCAGAGGATCTTTAGGATCGTTTATAAAATTAATGGTAACATTTGGTGAGCTTTACGCTCATGTGATTGGCCCATTTGTATCTTACGAGATGCTATCCTACGCTTGTATTCTCATATCAATCACATTTTTTATATCATTCGTATGGATGCCCGAGTCACCTTATTATTTAGTAATGAAGAACCAACAAAAGAAAGCTATGAAAAGTCTGAAACAACTCAAACGAAATTCGACGGAGGAAGAGTTGGATGAGGACATGGACCAAATGCAAAAGACAGTTATACGAGATCTCAGCGATAAAGTTCACTCTTGGAATTTTTTCAATACTCGTGGAAATAGGCGAGCCATTTTGGTCAGTTTTGGTCTTCAATTGATCCTACAATTCAGTGGTATTGCCGCAATAGAATCTTATACTCAGGAAATTCTTCAAGAAGCTGATAATGGTCTTTCTGCCGGGGTTGCTGTCATCGTCTTGAGTTTACTGCAATTGGTCGCAGGGTTAGGTGCAGCTCTTCTAGTTGATCAAGTTGGCAGAAGGCCCTTACTTCTAATTACCACTTTACTTGCTGGTGTCTCATTAACGATCGCTGCTGTTTTCTATTTTTTCAAATTTTATTTATTAATCGACATCACCGGATACGGATGGGTACTTCACGCTTCCGTTATGTTCTACGAATTGATAATCGCGTTGGGATTGAGTCCACTGCCCTACATGATGTTGGGCGAATTATTTCCAACCAATGTGAAAGGTAAAACTGTCTCTTTGGTGAACCTTTGGGCTTCACTTTTGGCATTCATCGTGTCGAAGCTTTATCAAGTTATATCCGATGCCGTTGGAATTTATAGCGCATTTGGATGGTTCGCTGTAAGTAGTTTTATTGGTATCATTTTCATAATGTTACTCGTACCGGAAACAAAAGGAAAATCTTTGTTTGAAATACAGGAGGAACTTAATTGCAATAAGAATAAAATTAATGCTAAAAAAAAGAAACAACAGGAGATTTATATTAACATTATAAATTAAGTTTTTAAAAAGACAGAGAAAAATACAAGTCGATGGTCACGCACATATTAAGATTCGGCACAAATATTTGTGCGATACGATTAATTAGTAATTCATTACGTTTGATCGATTTTAAAATTGATAAGATAAGCTCCACGAGGAAGATAACAAAATTAACATGTGAAAATTGAATTATCTGGTTAGGCCATCGATTAAAATCATACATGGAAACTTTTGACTTTACGATTTGTTTTTTATTAGAGGGGAAGAAAAATTTGCAACAAAATGTTACGAAATATCGATCGATTTTGAAAATCCGTGTTTTAATTGTTAGTATTTTAAGAATATATATTAGATTTGTAATTAATTGTTAAGTTAAGGGCCCTTATATTCCATTCGAAAAAACGGCTTCGATAGAAGTTACGAGATTGTCAAAATAACAATTTATGGTAGTTTAAACGTTAAAAACTCAAGTATGTTATCAAATCGAATGAATTTCTAATTATAAATTCAAGTTTAGAAACTCTAAACTTGTTTTATTCAAATATTTTGATAATCTGGGCAATCTCGGCCGTGTATAATGGGAATTTGAAATATTCTCGACTTTTTGAAAAAAATTCGAAATATATAAGACAATTGTTTATCGATTTTTTGAGAAAGTAGCGAATATTTCAATAGTGTGTTTAGCTGGGCCCCCATCATTAAATAGAGCAAATGCGCATGACCATCTTTTTGTCCCTTTTAGGCAGGGTTTAATAAGTGAGTGAGACTGATAGATTAATATTAATCGTAAAGTATATTTATTTATCGTCTTGCGTTCTCCGAGAATCGAAAATAAAAGATTGATTTATTCGAATTTACATGAAAAAAGAAAAAAACCAAATTGAGAACGATAGAACGACAGAGAGAAAGCGAGAACGTTAGACGATTAATAAAAACATCTTCTCATCCCTTTGAGGCAGGGTGCAATATGAACGACAAAAGATTATATAACGATTATTATTAAGCGTTATTAAAGAAAATATATCGCACGCACGAAATCGATAAAAAAAGAAATGCGCGTGCCAATGGCCCTGATGCAAGAAGGATTTAGGCGAGCACTGAAGCATGACTAACTTATTTTATCCCTTTTAGGCAGGGTGAAAGATACATTTATATAAAGGATGTAATTAATTCATTTTTATTTTTTTTTTCTTCTCAAACAAATATGCTTTAGCGTCGAATATAACTGGCCCGAAATAAAAAGGGAAACACATATATAATTAGAACTAGAAACGAAATGATTCTAACGAAATATCAAAGTGTCCTATTGTAACTACTATCTTTAAAACAATATCTATATAACATCTTTAAAATTATAGTAGATGGCACTTTTTTTAATTTTGTATAGTGCCACGTATATGTTCACGCAATTGCACGACTCTCTACACGTCCCTTTAAGGCAGGGTTTAAAAGACTAGCAACAAAATCTATTTCTATACAATGTATTTTCTACAATGTAGAAGTTTGCAATTTACGTTAACAATGAATGTTAAATAATAAATACTATATTTACCTTAGAGACGAATATTCTTCTCGTTTGTTCTCCCCTTCTTATTCCTCGTCCTATGGTGGAATATTGTTTTTTGTTTTTGTTTTTTTTTTTTCGTACAAGAACTAAAGCTTTAAGATTTCATCAACTGGACAATTAATATTTATATTCTTGCATTATAATAACTCTTATACATAAATGTTATTACAATATAGAAACATAAATATTTGTAATATTTCACTCATTAACATCTCGCAACGTTATTTTATTATACACACCACATTGTTTGTTTGTTCTTTTTTTATTATATTTTTTTTTTTAATTTTTATTCGAAGTTATTATTAAAATTCTTGACGTATTTTCTCGTTTAGTTTTTTCTTGTTTCATTTTATTATATTTTATCTTTTCTTTTATGCTTAGAACATTATGCCTCTGGAACTTGTTTTAACTCGAGCGAATCGTTTTTGATCTTTTTCACCCCTTATACGATAAGATTTAAAATATCGTTTCATTCGTGACTGAGTACGTACCACCCTCGGGAAAGTATTTATTTTATTCTAATCGTTATTTAAAGCGTTCGTTAATTGCCAAAGAAATATTTATAAAATATATTTGAGTATTAGTGTCGTCACTAATTGTGAAACGAAATAAAAGAAGGAAGTAATTTTTTCGAAAATATCGGAGCTTAGAAGTTGGATTGAAAAAGGTTAGTTCAGTGCCTTTGTTTTTTTTTTTGTTAAATTTTAAACAGCAGACAAATTTTAGCAAATAAATATTTCTTTTTGATTTGCTCAACGTGAATATTTACTAATAGATTTTTCATTATCTTCTAACACGCGTAGATATTTATCAAGCACAGTATTATTAATCCTTTCGATATGGGAAGACGAAAGTGAAGGAAGCTCGGAATTTGGCTATAGTGTTTGTTTCTTTTCATTATGTTTATCAAGAAACGTGGTTAAAACAAGCGTTTGCGTTGTTATTTTTGGTTTTTCTTTTTTACTTTTCTCTTGAAATTTTCTTTCTAATGTTTATTGACGTAAAAACGTTTCCACGAAGTCACTTTGAACACACACAGACTCACGCATACATATACTTATATGAAACAAACAAACGGTTCATTCACCCTGGACTGTGATTGTCAAGAAAAAACATTGCTTTTTAGTTTTTACTGATCGTACGCATATATATATATATATATATATATATACTTTCATTCCATACACCCACATCGCGTTCTTTTTATTTCTTATAGGACACTTTTCAATTTTTTTCAAATTCATTTATTCTATAATACTATTTTATAAATATATTCTCCGGTGAAATATGAATATTCTTTCATTGAAATAGATTCTAACGTAAGACTTTACTATCCTCGAGTTTTCATCCCTTCTTCTAATCGAAGAAGATTTATTATTAGTCGGATATAGAGGCCAGAGTGCACTCATGAAATTTTATTCTTAAAAAGTGTGCTCGCATTTTTAAAATCGCGCGCTTGCCATAGTTTCACGTAAAAGCATTTATCATCGTCATCGTTCATTATTATTAATATTATTATTATTATTATTGTTATTGTTATTTGTTCTTCTTTTTATAGTATCGTGTTTAATAATATTATTACTATAATTATCACTATTATCATAACCATCAACTGTAATTAATATTATCATTATTATTATTATTATTATTATTATTATTATTATTATTATTATATTATATGAAGCCGATTTTAATGTTTTTCTAATAGGTTCTTTTTTTCCCCCCAAGTAGCGCTTACGAGGTTTTTTCTTGCCTATCTTTTTTCTTTTTTCCTTTCATTTTTATTTGTTATTGTTGTTGTTTTTACTTTTTGGTTTATTCTTTACATGCTTTAACGTTTAACATGGAACGTTCAAATTCGAGAAAATTGAAGGCAGTCTCACTACGTCGCTATTACGGTGAATACACCCAATGAAAGATAAAGATCTAAATTTAAAATTCGTACAAAGTTATGATTGTACGATGCATATTTGTATTATCATTTATTTCTATTTTCACCGTATTTTCTTTTCTTTCCTTTTTGTTTTTTTTTTCATGTTAGGCCAATCAATCGATGAGACTAACTATAGTAACGAAGTTTGAGGATAATACAGTGCTCGTTATTTTTTATTTTTAGTCTGAACAATCTTGGAAAGGAAAGAGGAAAAGAAGAGGATTTAGGAAAGATTTTGTTAAGAACGTGTTTTTTTCTTTTTAAGATCATTGAAGAAGACAAAAAGAAGAAAAAAAAATGTCTGTGGACTTTATTACTTTTTTGAAATTTGTTTTTTTAGAATCGATAGGTCAACGTTACGAGAATAATTTGATTAGATTAATAATAATGGGTACAAAATAAAACAGAGAAATCTATTGTTCATAGATTATCGTAATCTTCCTTCGAATGCCCATAATCTAATTACCTTGATCAATGAATTAACATGACTGATCCGATGTCAATGAATCCCATTACGATCCATCGTTCAGTCGAGTATAGTGGTATAATTTTGGTATTCCAGTTAATCAAAAATAAAATTTCTATTTTCGAGAATATTTTCTTAACAAATAGCAATTTCTTTTTTTTTATTTACAATCGACGCGTATAAGAATTATTGGCGCGAGGCAAAGAATAAAACTTTTCCGAGATTCGAGCAAATTGTCGATACCCTAAAATTTCATTTATTCGAATATCTGTACACACTTATTTCTTTTAGTTAAATTTTCTTTGGTTAAATCTCTTTCTTTTTTTTTTCGTTTTGCTTTTTAATTTTATTTTAGAGACGAATGATCGATTAATACAATATCTGTGGTAAATAATTTCCTGAGTTTTGCAAAGAAGCGATGTCAATTATAAATTATCTATGAGTTAGGTGTCTCTCTGCTTTTACTTTGTTTTTTTATTTTTTCTTTTTTCATTTTTTTTCTATTTCGGTACATACCCGTTGTCATAAAAAATCCAATGAATTTTCTAGCTCGAGATCGATCGATCGATTCGTCGATCCTGCGATGAATCGAATCATTTACAAAAAAACTCGATCGCGAGCGATCCTTTTTTAATTGCTATAGTTATACCTGATAAATGTTTAAACCTCGTAATATTATGTACGACGACGCGATCGTGCGTTTCTAAAAGACAATAATTTGATATCATACAAACAATTGACAACAATAATTTTGGCTCTTTATTCTCCTCTCTAGTATATATATATATATTTTTTTTCTTTCTTAATTTGTTTTTTTTTTCTGTAATTCTTACGATAATTCTTGATAATAATGAACATTGTATTTACATGGCTGTCTATGTGTAGCAAGTGAATCTAATTGATCGATAAAATTCTAATTAAATAATGAATCATTCAAGGATTCACATAGAAAAGGATCGAGATTGAACTTTTTGTTCATCAGAAAAAATAAACAAATGTCTGTTCATTCGAAATATAATTTGCTCGATCTTAATCTCATCTCCAAATGATTCTGAACTGCGATCATCCTGATTAGAAATCGTTTTGTTTAAACTATTTCTCTTCGTTGTCGGCATTCGGTATGCGAACGATTGTCGAGTCGTGTCTTTAACTCTTTTTTTATTATTTTATATTTTATTTTTTTTTTTAACCAAAAGGATTATTAGAAGAAAAAGAAAAAAAAGAAAAAAGTTATTTCGAGAAATGGCATCGACGCGGCATTCGTTCCACCAACAACAATAACGATCCAAAATGTGTTAAATTACAACAAGCAGTAGTCAATTACTGCCAAATGATTCCTGTCTAAGTTTTAACAGGAACAACATTTCACGTTGTCGATAAATAATAACGACAACTTGAAATATATATTCTATATAAATATATATCTCCGTTGCTGATTCCTTCTTCGAGTTCGTGAAATCGACCAATCGAAAGTTTCCATCTAACGGTGAAACTTGTACAGTACTTTGAAAACAATATCCCGATATTGGGACTAGTTTGATGAATTTAATTAGAGTACTAGTTTGCTATCAATCGAATTAATCAACATTGACTAATCTTATCGTCGATCTCTTTCGTTAATTAAATCTTAGATTAATTTTATTAGCGATTTTCCATTTGTTTCTTTCTTTTTTTTTTTTTCAATTTATTTATAGTAAAAAAACAGAAACGAGGATAACGTTTGAATTAGTCGAATTCTCGAAACGAGGAAATTCTACGGCCGTTGAAAATATTACACCTCCATACGTATCTTGAACGTATCTTGAACGTATCTTCTTCGATAAAATCTCCATGAAGCGTGGCATAGGTTTGCTGCAAAACCTTCGAAAAGTTAAATAGGATACATCCTTCATCTTGATAATCGTTGCCCTTAGGGAGGCACCGTTGCATTAACTGGCACGAAGGTGTCCCTGTTCAGAGAGTTCAGCAGCTCTTCGTTCTCTTTGCGAACTGGAACAATACAAATGTTTACAACCGCCAAAATGAATTCAAAGTAAAAGACATCATTTTTTTGATATCTTTTAAACTAGAACTTGTCTTGTCTCAATATTTTTCTTAATTTAAAATATACAAAAAGGAAAAAATAATCAGAACGGAAAAATGTGTTGCTTATTTATAATGTACTACTCTCGCGTATAATTTTGGATGAAAATTCAAATTAAAAAATGCAAAAGCTCTTCGAAGATCGATTATTAATAAAATATAATTGAATGTATTCCATAATGATTTACGTTGAGCGCGATGTTTTATTAAATCCTTAGGTCCTGTAGGAGGGCTGAGAAAGGAACTATGAGTCAAAGTGACCACGACTACGAGGACCGAGGCAGCCAGTAGAAACAAGAACGTTCCCAGAACGATCATAGCTATTCTACGATGACGTCTAGATTGTTCGGTATCTTGTTCATCCTCGAGGACTTTTCTCGCGGCTTCCTTGGTCTCGAATTTGGTAGGTCGAACGGAATCCTTTCGTCTAGTAGTCCCACTTCTTCGTGTTCTGTTCTTCTTCGATACGCTAGCTCTTCTTCCATCTCCTGAAGGAATCATCATCATCATCATCGTTCATTCACAAATCTTCCTCACTCTTCATGATAAATAATGATTATTTTACCTAAAGGAGTTGGTCTACCAGAACTATTGGCTCTCGAACGACTCGATTGAACGCTGGAACGTCGACTCGAGCGAGTTTCAACATCCAAATTGTGGGACGAACGTCTATTAGTATTGGACTGCGAACAACTCGAGTTTCTACGAGCTTTTTCAACTTTTATTGGCGTGTAGAGGGTAAAACGATCGTCAAGTTCTAAACAGATATTGTCCGGTGCCGGTGGTGGATACAAGGCCGAACGATCGTCCAACTGAACGCAATCAGAATTCGATCGATACGGACTGTCCGAGCTTTCCGTACGATAATAAAGCTCCGGTGTCGAGCTTTGACAATTTTCCACTGCTAAATCGTCCACGTAAAAAATTACCCTTTCCGAATACGTACCGGATCCACGTCTTACGCGATGATTTTCTTTAATGCTCGGCTTCATAGTAATTTTTAATTTATTCTCGACAACATTTTCTGATCTCTTCTTTTGTCTTATGAAAAAACAAAGACAATATGTGAATAAATTAAATAACAATTGTCCCGTTTCATTCTCACAGATTTCGATTTATTATTCGAGCTGTGAAATAATTAACAACAAAAAATATATATCACGAAAAACAGATTATTTTCTACGTTCTAAAGATGAATCACGTGTTTTAACAAAGCAGGGTCATGGGATAGGTGTAGCGTTCGTTCGTTTGCTCATTTTCTAAGAAAATTTCTAACGAGATTATTTTTGCTACGTCAAGCTCGTCGATGCTTTGCCATCTCGAAAATGTTATCCAACTTCTGAAATTCTTTTAGGATTTTGGAGGAACAAATATTTATATAAATAAAAATAAAAATAAAAAGAATATAGAGAATAGAAAAGAAAGGAGGAAGAGGAGGAGAGAGATAAGAGCGCATAATAAATATTTAAAAAGTTATTTTTGCATCGTTATAAAAAAAGGGGAATTAAAGCCGATCTACCCAAAGACATTATGTAGGTTATTCGGATTATGCGAGCAATTTTACAGGATAACGCACAATGGTATTCCTTTTTTTGTTGCTTTTTTTTCAATCATTTTTCCCACAGGACTTGAAACGATTAATATTATCTATTCCCTAGAATTAATCTAATGAAATTTACCTTCAAAAATACAAAGGAATATCACATCCTTGAATTAAATACTATTCGAAAGAATATTTTTATTAATACTCACAGTCGTTGGATTTGTCCTGTCGGTAATTAGAAGTTTTATGACGAATCCCTTTCAAAAGATGTTCGTTAGAATTCGTCGTTCCTCTCATTTCCTTCCTCTCTCTCTATCTATCTTTCTCTCTTTTAGATTCGTTAGATATTAATATGATTCTAAATAATAATATAAATGATTTCTAACTGTAATCCTTCATTCAAAAAATTTAATTGTAACACCTGTTCGCGTCGTGCGTCTTTTAATACGATCTTTTAAGTTGCTCACAAATGTTAACGCTTATAATATTTTCCTTAAAACGTCATGAACGAGAACCCGAAGACGATTAATAAAATGAATGCATTATTTTACTAAAATGTTCAACGATTATCTTCCTGACAAGAGAAAAAAAAGACTTCTTTGCTTGATCAATAGATTGATTGTGTTCGCATTATATCAACTCGTATTTAACGAACTCGACGATTTGTTATTCGTGTTCTGGTGTGACGTTCCAGATATCTTGTAACAACAAACTTCCTCTACAAACAATCTGACATGAGAGATAGAGATAGATAAAGAGAGAAAAAGGAAGAGAGAATGAATCACACTAATGTTAACGCAAAGAGTTGATAATGGCGAGAAGCGGAAGTAAGGATAGAAAAGCACTTCCGAATAACAAGGCTGCCATTGAGTTAGCTGGAAAAGGATTGCGCTTTTTCAAATGCTAGAATGAGGAGGAGGAGGAGGAGGAGGAAGAAGAAGAAGAAGAAGAAGAAGAAGAAGAAGAAGAAATGAATGTATACAGAGAGTAAGAAGAGCTGAAACGTCAGGTCTAGGTGTTAGACGTCACCCTTGAGTATATTGCGACGTATATTTTTAGCGACTAGGATCTACTAGGCCACCGATCCGCTTTCCATGTCTTTCTTCTCTTGCCTCGACCGCGTTTCCACGTATTTGTGTGTATATTTTTGCGCGCGCGCGTGTGTGTGTGTGTGTGAACGCGCATATGCGCGCGCGTGTCTAACCCTCGTGGGCCGGTATATAATGCACGGATAGCATAATGGTGCGCGCGCTCACATTCTACGTGCACGTCGATAAATATATACCTTAGTTCGGCGAATGTTTGCAACAACTCAAGCCCCGATAGATGATGATGATGATGATGATGATGATTCGACCGAAATTTAAGAAAAGAAAATTGTCCGAGTGTTTTTAAATAAAATTTCTTTAATATTCATTTGTTTTCTTCCTTTGAAAATTTGTAATCTAGAAATGTAATATTAGTGATCATCAAAGTAATGATTTCTTTAAATTTCTAGACACTTTGATATATTTATTAATTTGATTAATATAATTTTGTAATTTAAATTAAAATATATTATAAGGATTCATTTGTATAAATTCAAGGAATAATAAAGATCGAATGAATTGTATCGTTCTTTTTGATATTGACCGTGAAAATCTTCATTTTCGTATTAGCACAACAGGTGAACGTAGAGACGACGATTTCCTGAACCGAGGTATAATTTCGGAAATTCAATTTCCTTGGCACACAAGTCGTACGATTTGCTTTATTGCCTGCCATGTTCTAACGTGAGCACATTCGATCTAGGAAATTGGCAGCCCCCCGAGGAAGTCCAATTTAATTGATTCGATTGATGATGGATTTTGATGTTTTCTATATACGTGTAGAACGATATGTTAGAAAATTCTATCATAGATTAGATAATCTTGAGTAATTTTAAAGTTTGTGAGAAGAAACAGAAGGTTATATAGATTGTTGATTTTCGTCGTAAAAGCTTTTTTTATTACACGAAGTATACCGCAAAAACCACAAGTTTGATATTTAAAATGTAAATGCATTTTGGCCAAAAACAACACGATTTTTCAGGATATGACTGGTTTGAACGATTTCCTCTATGTACAAAAAAAACCAATAAATAGAGAAAGAGAGAGAGAGAGAGAGAGAGAGAGAGAGATGGGTGCTAATTCGATTGCAGTTAAATCAGTTTTACGTAGGAAACTAGGTACAAATTTGTCTCTGATGCGTTCGAACTAAACTCATGGGGAGGAAAAATGTTCACATAGTTCGTAGAACAAAAATGAACAAAAATTGCAATCAGAGAGAGAAAGAGAAAATTTTGTATTTGAAACTAGAGTGAAAATACGCTGTTGAAATAAATTAGCCATAGTTCATGACTTTCAACGTTTTCTGTATTAAAGTTGTTATCCCTACGAGCTTTCTAAAGGGTTTTATCATGAAAGAAAAATGAATATTCGCTTACCCATTCCTCATTGTACGAGGCGGTAATATTTTTCCGAAGGTACACCTTTAATCGAGGAGCTTTGAAAAAAATTAAAAGAAAAAGAAAAAAAACAAAAGAATTTATCTACTTTAATGAACATAAAAAAAAGAAATAGAAAAAGAAAAGAATAGACTATGTTGGGAAAGTCGAAATTTGGAAGTGGTTTAACGTGTATTCATCCTGATCTCATCTACGAAGGGACCTGTAGATATTGATAATCGATAGTACTCGCGTACTCGTTACCAATATTAGCATATACCAGTTCTCAACTGGTATAAGGACATTCGCATAATAATGAGTAGTAGTAGTAGTAGTAGTAGTGTAGTAGGATATGTATGTCGGGAAATGGAGGAAAGCGAGTGACAAGCGTAACAGGTGATATAACCGCATGAAATGCAAAAGGAAGTGCACCAATCCATATTATAGTGAAACCACAACCGATTTTTCAATTGCATTCGCAACAGCTGCACCTATTCCTACGATCTCCGATTTTTCTCATTGGATATATATTGATTCTACCTTTAGGAAATCAAATTTCAGAGAAACCTTAAGAAACGGTGTTCGTTCGGGTCTCCTTGAAAATGATTATAGTTCGATCCTAGTGTTTTCAGAAGGATCAGTCATTTTAAACGAATTATCTGTTATTTGGTTACAGAAGAAAATGTTAAATCAAAAATTTATTTTGAAATATTATTTGAATATTATATTGAATATTTTTTCTTACAATTCAATGCCAGTAACAGTCTTCAAAGTATGATTTGTTAAAGAAATAAAAAGAAAAATCTTGCAGTTGGTATTGCATTTTGCATTTGATACGGCGACAGAAAGGAAGAGGAGATACTTTTTATGATCTTTCTTCGAATTAAAAGAAGATTGGAA